TCTCTTATCTTACTAACACAATTGAAAGAACAATCTTATACTACCTATGATAAATTTCATCAGTCTTCATTTTATTTGTATTAACTAATCATATTATAATTTGGTTTTGAGGTTATGTCACTTACTCGATATATATTTTAAAGATCACAAATTATGTTTAATATATGTATGATATGATAAATGCGCTTTATCTTTAAGAATGACGAAAATCCACGCTCTCTTATTGTTTACGCCAAAATAGACGTGACAACATCTCATTAATTTTGGCGCAAGAGAATTGCATCTTCCAACGATGCATGGACATTTGCGACCCAAGATCGGCAATAAAGTTGCCCTCTAGATACCTGAAGGCGGCCCTAACAATATAGTCTAAATCCAGTCGCGAAACTATTAACATAGTCTAGACTCGGTCGCCAAGCTATCAACATACAAATATTTCAATATCTTTCAATACTCATACTATATCATACAAACAGTGTAAATTATATTCTACAAATAAATAAGTGTAAATCTATTTGTTATTAATCAATATTTACATTTTAAAACGGTTGATAGAGCCACTAATTCTATCTGGTCCTTCAGCTTATACTTCAACAAAAAACATTGGTCCAAACGATCCGAATTTGATCACCAGTGCGAAGGAAATAACTAAAATAATTAAATCTAAAATCAAAAATTAAATAAAGTGGAAGTTCTAAACAAGACAGGAAGTTCTAACTTTGGCGCTACACCAACGAACGAGCGAAGCAAGCAGCGAGTGAATCAGGTTAGTCAAGCATTCCCTTCCTATCTGTCTCTCCATATTTAATAATTAGAGTTCAATATAATATGTGTCAAAATGGAATCATCAAAAACATTAAAGTCACTAAATATCAAGCAACTCATAATTAAATCGCGATTAGCATCTATCGAAAAGATTTGCAAGCAATGGTCAAGCATACCTGTTTGTGAGTTAAATATTTTAGATATAAACCGCTTTATCGAATATGTAAAACCTTTTTTAAAAACATATGAAGATACGGTTATCGAAATAGCAACATTACTAGACGACGAAGAGCAAATTGATAATTTAATTGAAAACGAATTAGATGAGTTTTATGACAAATACAACAAATGCTTGGCAACATTATTAAAACTTAGTCAAGTTTCATTAAATAAATCAGATACTAGTTCGGAAAGTAAATTAAATTATACCACAACAAACAATGCAGGTAACATAAAACAGCCTCAATTTTATTTACCTCAACTAAATGTTTCTAAATCATTAACGCTATCTAATCATAAATCAAACTTAGAAGCTCAAATACACACATCTACGGAAATACACAAACCATACAACGATATACAATATGTCACTGAACATTGCAAAAAATATTTTGTTTCTAATGCTAAGGCTACGCCTAAAATTATGGCAAATAACGGAAGTTTTGGGACTAAAATCAATTTTACAAAAAATATCAAAAACATAAAACGCAGTAAACAAATAACATTAAAACGTTATATTTCATTTGAATACAAAAATCTATTCACTGAATTCATAAACGCATGTACACCTAAAATATGTTTCTATATACCCCATCACAGCGTGTTAAAGTCGAACAATTTAATAATGAATTTTTGCGTATTTTTCGAAGAATCTTTTAAATTCAATACAAATCTGTCGTTAACTGAGCTACAACTTGTTTTACCGACTATCCAAAATAAAATCTTTTCCATTATACCAAAATTTAAAATGAATACGTTAGTACTTACGGTCGATATAAAGAAAATGATAAAACAAGTTTCAGTTCAGACTAGCGACAGAAAGATGCACCAAACAGTTTGGAGCAAAACTTCTAATGACAAAATAAATATTAATCAAATAAATACGTTTTTGTCAATGCAATCAATCAAACAAAACATAACCAAACAGCTTAAAATATTCGAAATTCTCACAAATTATCCTTACGTTGATAGTTTATTAACTAGAGATAATACAATAATGAAACTATTATTCATTAACAACAATCTTACTAATCTTTTAAAACAAACTCAATTAAATCCTTATCAATTGAATTCCAACTATTCAAAACTTTTAATTCAGACTATAAATATCGGCGAACAAATTACAAAATCTCTACAGACATCGTCGAATTTATTTTTATATTGTTTTAAATTTAACTATAAGATTAAAACAATAAATCTAATAGCGAATAAAAGATCTATTTTATCAGCTACTGTTCAAACATATGATACAAGAGATTTTTTATATCCAATCAACAATTTAATTAAACTAATAATGCAAATTCTAGGGCGGTCGAACTTACCACATCACGAGGAAATTTCCTCAGAATTACAAAATGCATTAAAACAGTTTTCTACAAATATGTTAGAAAACACATTAAAGTGTAATGAAATCAAAACTACTAAACACTTAAACATTAAAATAAATATATTACTTATATTTTTCGATAATCGTCTAAGCATGAAATCAAATGGCTACACATATAATCCGCGTATAAATGTGTTTTATATCAGGTCAAATTCTAGCTATAAAATAAACCTAATGGTAGCAAGATCTAAAATAACTCTATTAAAAAATATCGCACGTATATACCTCAAGCTAAGTACGGCACAATTACTAGCAGCTCTTGCACAAAAAATGAAATATGCATTAAATATTACGTTTGATAAAAAATTATATTAGAGCGATTTTAGTATCATCCTTATGGGAATAAAATCTTTTTTACAAAATAGAAACTCTTTTTGCCAATAAAATAATTTTATTCACACCGAAACATACGCAAACTATTGGTTGCATGTCGAATCATAAGACAGACCAGCGAACTCCATTTCACGCAAGTGCTATACATAATCTATTAAATTCATCTTTAGTGGTAAGGTCCCTTTGACATATAACTGCAACGCGCGATTAAAATTGTTACAATTTTATTAAACTTAAACGTGTAAAAAATAATACACTTAAATTATAATTAAACGTAATCGTATAAAAATAATACACCTAAATTACAATTAAACTTAAACGTGTAAAAAATAATACTAAATCAACAAAGAATAGGACATTGCATGCTCTATTAATAATTCACAAGATCAATTATCACAAAATATGACAGTCAAGCAAGACATAATTACAAGCAAGAACTTGCGTACGCATCATACAAATATCCAAAACTTAAATACATTTATACTATTATTAGATAAAAATGGAATTTTGCACGTTGGGGTTCAGACCAAATACTTGAATTTAATCTAAACAAATGTCAACCCATAGCGCTGTCCAAAATTCCACTCGTCTATCCATTTCCATACCTAAACATGAACATTTAAAAAATCATATCACCACTTTGTACAAATATCTATTTGCCTATAGGAACTAAAGGCTTACCTAAATATGTACATGTTTCCAAATGCAACACACATATATTAATTATTAACTTTGTACAAATATCTATTTGCCTATAGGAACTAAAGGCTTGCTTAAATATGTACATGTTTCCAAATGCAACACACATATATTAATTATTAACGGGCAATTTATCTACATTTGTACTATCCCGCATTACTCTTTCTTTACATGCGAATTCTTAGTTACAAAAGAATATCACTAAACAAGAGTGTATAAAAAATGAAGGCTTTTTTATGACTTATATTTTCGCATTTTTATTAAATACAAAATACATTTCTAATCGAACTTTACAAAAATACAAAATACATTTATAGTCGAACTAATATCTGGTTTAACACTAAATGGTTGATAGCCATTTTTAACACAATTTTGACGCAACGCATAAATCTTGTAAATTATATTTATATAAGGAAACTAATCTTATAAACCTTATAAGGTTTTCAAAATAAATAAACTAAAACCAGATTATAAATAATATAGTCAAATGGACTATGTCGAGGTTTCATATACCATCAAATTTTCATATAAAGCTCATCTAAAAAAATTTTGTAAATTTTCGAAATTATTTTCTAATTCTAATTCTTTACGGCAATTCTATATGGTTCAAACACATATCGGAACATTATTGAACTCGAAACCAACCTCTTAAGCTCCAATCCGCAAGATTATGATCCATTAATTCCTAATCACTTCCATATTTAAAATCCTCAATCTCAGCTCCCTATCCATCAATGCTTGATATTCTTGGAAACACCCTTGCTCAACACCAGGAACTTCAAAGAAAAAAAAACTTGTGCAACAAGAGTACAAGAAATGCGCCAGGGTTGCAAACTACGACAAATGGCAAGTACAACTATCGTAAACAGCTGAAATGGGGAATTTGGTAGTGGTCAGAAAGGACAATTTACCTTCACTACATGGACGATTGGGGCGATTTCTAGACACTCACCCAGAAGATGATCAACTTGTGCGCGTGGTAACAATCAAGACTGAAATTGGTGTAGTTAAACGTGCAGTTAATCAAATTGGTGTATTACAAAAGTCATAGACAATATATTTCAAACAACAGACTATAATTAACTTAGAGTGATAAACTATAATTTTAATTTTGAAATCATATACACTATATTATTTCAAGGGCGGGAGTATGTTTACGCCAAAATAGACGTGACAACATCTCATTAATTTTGGCGCAAGAGAATTGCATCTTCCAACGATGCATGGACATTTGCGACCCAAGATCGGCAATAAAGTTGCCCTCTAGATACCTGAAGGCGGCCCTAACAATATAGTCTAAATCCAGTCGCGAAACTATCCACACTTTCAAATATTCCTATTATATCAATTACTAAAACTTTATCATACAAACAGTGTAAATTATATTCTACAAATAAATAAGTGTAAATCTATTTGTTGTTAATCAATATTTACATTTTAAAACGGTTGATAGAGCCACTAATTCTATCTGGTCCTTCAGCTTATACTTCAACAAAAAACATTGGTCCTTCGATCCGGAACACTTATATATAAAATAATCTTATTCCAATAATGATAAAAGATAAATTTAACAGTCTTATTTCTTTTTTTTCTACAGATGCCCGGAATGATAATGTTCCAGAGGCGCTGGTCGGCCGGATCGGACGATCTGGTCGTGCCCGGAGTTTTCCTATCAATCCTGCACATTATCTGGTAATTATCACAATAATTAAATAGATAATTAGTTAATGATAATTTTATTAATTCATTGGTTTATCCAGGACGATCGTCGTGTGCATCGTCCTATCCGGTGCAGATCTCAAAGACAAGGAGTACTGTGTCAATTTAATGTGGCAGGAGATCATAGCATATTTGATTATATTAATAGGTAAGATGAGTCGAATGAAAATATTATGACCAAAGAAAAGTCTATTGTGCGAGTGCACTTTAAGCAACAACGTTGTAGTAATAAAACAGGAATTCACTGACAAGAAAATTGGGGAGAGAGGACTCTACTGACGAACAAATTAGTAATTGATTTGGTAGATAAAAAAGGGACTCTACTGACGAGCAAAGTTGATTTTGTCTTAAAATATAAAATAAAGGAACTCTACCGATGAGCAAATTAGTTATCTATCTGTAGGAGATGAATGAAAGAACTCTACTGACGAGCAAACTGTAATTTTCCAGAAGATAAAAAAGGAACTCTACCGACAAGCAAACTTGATTTTTTGTCTGGATGATAAGAAAGGGACTCGACTGACGAACAAATTAATAAAAAAATCTAGAAAATAATAAAAAACAACTAACTGACGAACAAATTATGAAATATTTTAGAAAATAAGATATATGGGACTCTACTGTGAAACAAACCAACAAAATAGAGAATAAGGGTTTCTACTAACGAACAAATTATTAAATAATCTAGAAAATGGAAAAAGGGACTCTACTGACAAACAAATTATCAAATAATCTAGAAAATAATAAAAAGGGACTCTACTGACGAACAAATTATTAGAAAATCTAGAAAATAAAAAAGGGACTCTACTGACAAGCAAACTTTTAATTTAGAACATAAAGGGACTCTACTGACAAGCTAATTTGATTTTGATCTAGAATATTAGAAAGAGACCCCACTGATGAGCAAACTTTAATTTTGATCTAGAAAATAAAAAAGAACTGTACTGAAGAGCAAACTTTAATTTTGGTCTAAAATATCAAAAAAGGGACTCTACTGACTAGCAAACTAAAATTTCGACATGAGAAAAAAAATGCGTTCTGAATAGGACAAAATGTTCAGGTGAAAGATAAGAAAAGGACTCTACTGACGAGTAAACTTCACTCTGATCTAGAAATTAGTAAAGGGACTCCACTGACAAGCAAACTTCTAATCTAGAACATAAAAGGGACTCTACTGACGAGCAAACTCGATTTTGATCTAGAATATTTAACAAAAGGACCCTACTGACGAGCAAACTTGATTTTTTGTCTGGATGATAAGAAAGGGACTCGACTGACGAGTAAACTTCGTTCTTATCTAGAAATTAGTCAAGGGACTCTACTAATCATAGCATATTTGATTATATTAATAGGTGAGCCGATTGAAAATAATATGACCAAAGAAATGTCTATTGCGCGGTTGAACCACTTTTTATATAAAATTATCCAATTAATGATTTTTTTTCAAATTTCAGTTTCCCTCCTGATCGAGATCCTGATGTGCATTGTATCAATGCGGGGCAGCATTTTGTATACGGAACCCAGAAATTCGATGCCTTACATTTTGTACGCTAGATTAGGTCAGTATAACAGTATAGTCATCATTCGAATCAATCACATTATTTCAGTATTGAAGTAAAACTTTTTTATTCCCTCAATCAATTTCACTTCGCAGGTGTGATGTTTATAGAACTAGGCTGGCTCGGTTTGGCCATATCGTGGCTCGTCAAATCCTTCGAGACTTGTCCCAAGGTCGATTTGGGCAAAAAATTATTACTAGGTAAGAGAAAATATATATACATATGTAACGCGATTGTAGGCCGATGGAGATCCAGTGGTCATTTTGTTAAGATTGTGTTAATTTTAATTTTTTTAGAAAAACATATATTTCACCAGCATCTTTTTATTTTCGTGGGCCAGTGGTAGTCCAGTGGTCTTTTTGTTAAGATAATGAATTTGATTTTTATTTTTATTTTCAAGGTCTGGTTTGTTCGAGCAGTACTATTATGCTGATTATTTTGGCTACAATTTGGTGTGCCTACGATTCTGCTGGTAGGAGCTGGTTGAAAATGAAAATATACCAGAGGAGCAGGTATAATTATTGTTATCACCAAAAATCATTTTTTTATAAATATTCAAGTTTTAATTTAAATTTAAAAAATTGTTTTTTTTTAAGTATTTTTAATTAAAACTTTTATAAAAATAACATATTTACCTTTTATTTCATATACAATAACTTAAACTTTTTCCTATAATTTTAATATGCTAATTAAAACATCGAGTGTGAGAACAGCTTTAAACGCTAAAGCCCTCAACACATTTATCCGGTTTCATATAAAACTATTCTCGCGCGCTATATATAAAAACGCAAGTGTGATATCAGCTTTAGCATAAAGCGTGTTTCACACTGTGCAATTTTTTTCTCGAGTTAGTTCACAATATAAAACATATATATTTTAGTTTATTTGAACAAAAGTACATTTAACTAGGTGCAAGTGGAATCATTATAGTAGCTATATAGTAGAACTTATTTTTCAGAAAAGACAACGAACAAACGAGCAGATTTCAGTACAAACGTTCAACCAGTAACAGGAACTGGAGACAAAGGTAAGATTTTTTTATAAATAATTATGATTATATATATATATATATATATATATATATATGTATATATATAATAGTATATGTATATAAATAATATTTTTATCATTTTAGGAAAGTTCTACGAGCATATCAAAACAGTTGGGACTCCCGATGTAAATTCCTATTTTGTTGTGTTCCTCGATCTGATAGGGTCAGACACAATTTTGGAGACATTGCAAGGTAAAAAAATATATATCTAATATAACTAATTATCATAATTATGTAATTACTCGTTTAATATTAATGAATCTTTTAATAAATTACAAATCTTTCAAACTCCACTTTCTCTCGACAAAACAATGACACACAGTATGAGTGCTGTTGGCAGTTACATTGAAATTATATAAAAAAATGAATATATATATATATATATATATATATATATATATATATATATAAAGCGAGAGGTTTTTCTTCAGATGGTGAAATAATATAATAAATTGTTTCTTGGGCATCCATCCAGTAATTAAAAAACAGTTTTAATGAAAAATGTTTTTATTTATAGAGAACATACGTTTCGGGTCTGGATTTGACCCATCTTCAGTGCTACAATTAAATAATTCAGGGTTACAAATTAAATCAATATAAAAAAATACATAATTAACAGACAAAAATAAGTAAAACAGTGTATATGAAAAGTATATATGAAAAACAACCATAAAATAAACAATGTAAAGAAACTCACCATACAAATAAACTTTGAAAAACAACACAAAAACACAAAATTGCACGCAAAATAAATAAAAGTGAAATAAAAAATTGATGAAACGTCGAGTTATGAAAAATTTTAAAAAAATTTTAAAAAAAAATTTTTTTTTTAAATTTTTCATAACTCGACGTTTCATCAATTTTTTATTTCACTTTTATTTATTTTTCGTGCAATTTTGTGTTTTTGTGTTGTTTTTCAAAGTTTATTTGTATGGTGAGTTTCTTTACATTGTTTATTTTATGGTTGTTTTTCATATATACTTTTCATATACATTGTTTTACTTATTTTTGTCTGTTAATTATGTATTTTTTTATATTGATTTAATTTGTAACCCTGAATTATTTAATTGTAGCACTGAAGATGGGTCAAATCCAGACCCGAAACGTATGTTCTCTATAAATAAAAACATTTTTCATTAAAACTGTTTTTTAATTACTGGATGGATGCCCAAGAAACAATTTATTATATATATATATATATATATATATATATATATATTAAAATATTGGTTTAAATTCCCAGATTATTGAGCGAGTTCTTCCGAGACTTGGACGTGGTTCCAAGTGACGTCATAGCCGGTTTGGTTCTGTTGAGGAAGTTCCAGAAATTGGAACGAGATGCCATCGTTAGACAGGTAAATAAAAAAATACGAATTATCATGATATAAACCAATATCTTGAAAAAAATCTAAAATCCATACGTTTCGGTTATAGTCAAATCCAATGTCCTAGAAATCTAGTTAGTCAAATTAATTGCATAGATTGTAACCCAAATTATATTGGTGAAACTAACTAAAATATAATAAAACGTCTTCAACCATTCTAAAAATTTTAGCCAATTTAAAACTATGCTTACGATACACATTATTAAGGTGAAATATAATATTTTACTACATTTTGAAGAAAATTTATTCATAAGACATATCAGTGAATGATCTTCTTTAATAGTTTATTATTATTTTTATAATAAACAAAATTTTCCAGTTCGTTATTAATAATATATATATATATATATATATATATATATATATATATATATATATAAAATCCTCTACTGCTAGTCTTGTACTTTTTTACTTTTAATTTTAATTGTTACATATTTTAATTATTAAATTTTATTTTAGTTCCATTGACTGAAGGCTAGTATTGTAGCCGATTTTAGAATATTTTGTACATTAGATTTTGTTAAAGAAATTAATTTCTTTTTTTTTCAGAGAATAAACGGCACCTACGACTTTTTATCCGGTGTTCCAATCAACGCACAAACCAAATTTCTATCACTGGACAACAAGTCGGACTTCGAAAAATTCCAGGTAATTCTTAATGAAATTTAAAAAAAATAGTTACTGTTTACAAATAGGACTCTACTGACGACCGAACTAAACCACGATATAAAAATAAAAATAAAATTCTGCTGGCAATATAATAGAATTCTTTTGACGAAAAACCTAAAATTCGAAGTGAAAAAATAAGACTCCACTAACAAGATAAAAGGACTCTACTGACGATAAAAAAGGACTCTACTGGCGAAAAATCTAAACCTCAACATGAAAACAAAAATAATACTCTACTTGCAAAACAAAAGGACTCTACTGACAAAACAAATGGACTCTATTGGCAACCTAAAAATCGAAGTAAAAAGAAAAATTAAACTACACTAACATAAAAAATGACTCTACTGACGAACAAGTTAAATCCCGACATGAAAAGAAAAAGAAAACTCTACTGACGAAGTGAAAATGTAAACTTTACTGACAAATTGAATGTCTAGATAAAAAATACAAAAGCACTTTACTAACTATATACTAGCATAGAAAAATAAAAGAATTAATTCGGACAAGCATATTCAATAGCTACTTAGTACATCAAAACAAGAACTATACTAACGAATACTAATACTATACTGACGAAAAAAAAAAATATCAATTTAAAAGGTAAAAAGTATACTCTACTGGTGAGCAAATTAAGAATGTAGATAAAAATGGATAAGGGACTCTACTAACGAGCAAATTCAATATCTACTTAGCATAATAGAAAAGGGAGTCTACTGACGTGCAAATTGAATATCTCAATAGAATTTAAAAAAAGGACTCTACTGACGATGACGAGCAAATTAATCGATACTTAATAGAATAAGAGGAGTCTTAAAAATAGTTATAGGATATTACACAAAAATGGAATAAATATTGTGTAATTAATTTCGAACTGCTGAATGATGACACATATGAAGTGCCGAAACGTATAGCATGGAATTTTTTATTAGTTCGATTGACTATTTTATTTTCCATTGATTATTTATTTAGTTTTACATTAAATATTTCATACATTTTAATTTCATTTTCATCATGACGGGCAAATTAGAATAAAAGAACAAAGGGACTCTACTGACGAACAAACTGGAAAAATATGAAAAAGACTGTACTGATGAGGAAACTGAAATAACATAAAAAAGAACTCTACTGATGGGCCAATTAGAACAAAATAACAAAGGACTCTACCGGCTATCAAACTGAAAAAGAAACTCTACTGATAAGCAATATCTTAAATGTCATAAAAAGGAACTTTACTGACGAGCAAACTAAATAAATATAAAAAGGGACTGCAAACTCAGGGAGAAAACTGAAAAAATTGCAAAAGGATGTTAGGATGCTAATGAAGAAATGAAAAAACATAAAAATTGAGTCTACTGACGACTGAATTAAAATAAAAGAACAAAGGCACTCTACTGACGAGCAAACTAAATTAATATGAATGGGAACTCTAACAACGAGCATTCTAAAATAACATAAAAAGGGATTCTACTGATGAGCAAATTAGAACAAAATAACAAAGCGACTCTATCGGCGATCAAACTAAATTAATATATAAAAAAACTACTAACGAGCAAGTTAATATAAAGTAAGAATGAGACTCTACTGACGAGCAAACTTGAATAAAAGTAGGAAAGAACTTTACTGACGAGCAATCTTAAATATCGTAAAAAGGGACTCTACTGACGAACAAATCAGAATAAAAAAAGAAAGATAGTTTACTGACGAGCTAAAATAACATAAAAAATTAGAAAAGAACGAGCATTCTAAAATATCATGAAAAGAGACTCTACTGACGAGCAAACTGAAAATAAAAAAGAACTCTACTGGCGATCAAACTAAATTAATATAAAAAGGAACTTTACTGATGAGCAAGTTAAAATAACATAAAAAGGGACTCTATTGACGAGCAAACTTGAACTAAAATATCATAACAAGGAACTTTACTGACGAGCAAGCTAAAATAACAAAAAACCCTACTGACAAGCAAATAATTATAATTAAAGAAAAAAGGGACTCTACTGATGATCAGATTAAATCTTGAATATCATAAAAAGGGACTCTACTGGCAAACTAAAATAAAACTAGTAAAGAACGCTACTGACGAGCTATCTAAAGTATCATAAAAGGACACTCTACAGACGAGCAAATTAGAACAGAATAACAGAGGAGCTCTACTGACGAGCAAACTAAATTAATATAGAAAGAGACTCTACTGACGGGCAATTTAGAATAAAATAACAAAGGGACTCTACTGACAAGCAAACTGATTTAATGTAAAAAAGAGAAAACCTTGAAGACTCTAGTCCAAGAACTAATTAATAAATTTCATTTTTTTAACTTTTCTAACCCTCTCTCTCTCTCTCTCTTTCTCTCTTTTTGTTGTATCTTTTATCTCTCTCATTCTTAATAAAAACGACTTAATTATCAAATCGTTACTTAAAGTTTTACTTTAATAATTCTTGCGATAACATTGTTAAAGTAATGACATAGTATAACGCCATATGATACAATTAATAAAATTTAGTCTTAACACAGTTTTAACTTTCTCTTTTGTCTCTCTCGCGTAAAGCAATTTTGACTCGTATTTTAGATTATCAAATCGTCACCTTAGAAGTTTCACTTCAACAAAATTCACACGATTTTCATTTTATTTTCAGGAAGTGATACATTACATGCACTTTGCCCAAGGCGCCTACGGCTGGCCAATGTTCCTAATGACCAACTCCGTCACTGGTCTTTGTCAACTGTGCTCGGCCATGAGGTAAATATAGAAATTTTTATATTAATTAAATTATTGTATATTTATACAATAAATTAATTAATCCTTCATTTATTAATTAATTAATTTTTTAACCAGGTGCTCGTGTATGCCCTGCGCCTCCAGAGACTCCAAAAGCAACGCCAATATTATCAAAGACAATTGCTGCGAATGCAACTATGCAGCCCTCAAGAGGATGCTGACACACGGAGAGGTAAGAAACGTAACAAACACGTAACACTAATGAAACAAAAGTTACATGATAAGCATTTTGTTTTTCTAATGATTTAAGAAAAAATAACTGTACTCGTTCACGCTTATCTATGTTTTACTTTCAATTAAAAATTTGAACAAAAATGCATATTTGTTACATCTAGTCTATTACTTAACTTCCCGTAGGGTAGTTATAGTAATGGGCCGAAAATCGAAAATGACAATTTTTGCATTTCTCGATGTTTTGAAGGTTTCTGAACATTTTTAACGGGGCATTCCTCAAAAACTAAATGAATGTGCGTGTAAAGATGAGCTGATTAGTTTTTGGCAAAGGTAGGTCCAGCCGTTGCGGAGATATGGAGCAAAGAGTGCAGAAAATAGAAATCGAATTTTTGAGAGAACGGAGTATCCGATTTGAATGATCCAAAGAACATTCAATTAGTAATGACGGGTAAAAGTCGTTATTAGTTTTTGGCAAAGGTAGGCCCAGCGGTTTTGGAGATACAGAGCTAAATGTTAAAAAAATGGCAGTTTTTGAGAGAACGGAGCATCCGATTTGAATGATTCAAAAAACTTTCTGCTTGTTTCAACAAAACAATTGCTTTTGAAAAAAAAATTTGTTTCTAATTTTTTTTTCAAAAAATATTTTTGTAATTTTGGATTAAAAATTCAAAAAATCACCCAAGCTAAGCACAGTCTAAGCGCCACTCTGGTACAAATGTTTACCCAAGTGCGTTTAGACTGTTTATGTGCTGGAGCACTTTTTCAATTTTGTGAAAACAAAAACTATTGAAAAATGTGAAAATGCCGCCAAGCTGAGCACAGTATAAGTGAAAATGTCGCACAGAATTATTTGCAAATGCGTTTAGACTGTGACTATACGTGAATACTTTTTCAATTTTGTGTAAATTAGGCAACTATTTTTTTTGTAATTGAATTCGAAATGAAATGACGATTGCTAGTTAACGTTTTGGAGATAAATTGATTTATGATTTACATTTGATTCGCTCAGATATAATAAGAGATAGCAATAATAATAATGAAACAATTGCAGTATTTGAAATAATATATTTGAAAACGTTTAAAATTAATCGAATATTTCGTTACGGTACGGGAAGTTTCAGCAATTTGCCTTGAGGCACGATGCCATACACCCCACTAGTTTTTTAATCTTATTACATTCTACCTGTCTATAAGACTGTCTTTCTAACTTTGTTGTCCTGTCTACCATTTTATAAATCCTCAAATTTTACTGTCTACCAGTTTACCTTTCTCCCAATTCACCAATGTATTTATTTACCTGTTTAACTATTTATCTGCTCATCTATCTGCCAGTTTACCTATCTACCAGTCTGATGGATTATCAATTACCAATTAATTAAAAAAGATGCAATAACTATACTAATTCACACACACACACAGACATACATCCATTTTTAAGAATATATATATTTTATAAAACAAACTTCATAAGCTGCAGTTCCAAGTAAGAAATAATTTTTTTATTTGTTTATGAAGCATTCTAATGCTTTTAATCATTATATTAATCTTAATATTTAATAATTATATTAATCATAATATTAATCTGAAAGAATATAACGTAACAGTTACGAAACATTGATGAAACAGAAATGTTTCACGAATGTTTGCTTGGTAAGAATGTAACGTCAGTGACAAGAACGTAACATTAACAAAACTTTTTAAAGTAGTTATACAAATTTTTATTCCTACATATTAAAATTTAATTAGAAACATTTAGGACATTTATGTAACAAGTCAATCAGTACAATTTAGATCATTAATATTATATTTTCAGATTGAAGTAGTTTATGCAACGTATCATGTTGATGTGGGTGAGACTCCATTTTTTATAGCAGTCGATTACACGAAGAGAAAAATTGTTATTAGTATTCGAGGAACACTCAGCATGAAGGTAATTTATAATTATCATATATATATATATATATATATATATATATATATATATATATATACGTGTATATATATATATCTTGATAGTTTTTTCGACGTTGAAACATATTTCAAAAGTAACTAGCAGCCCATTCGTCGAAATAAAAAAGGTATAAAGTATAAAAACTTTTATTTATACGTTTCGACACAAGATGCGTGTCATCATTCAGCAACACAGGATAAAAACACTCAACAAAAATTTATTTTAAAAAATTAAACTTAATAACATATTAGAGAAAAACATTTTTTTAGAAAAAATTATGAATAACTAAAAGATTTGAAAACTAATTTGACTAAAAGTTATGAAATACATCATTGTGAAGCTAGAAGCACGCCCATACCGAGCATCTAATCTAATCTTTTAGTTATTCATAATTTTTTCTAAAAAAATGTTTTTCTCTAATATGTTATTAAGTTTAATTTTTTAAAATAAATTTTTGTTGAGTGTTTTTGTCCTGTGTTGCTGAATGATGACACGCATCTTGTGTCGAAACGTATAAATAAAAGTTTTTATACTTTATACCTTTTTTATTTCGACGAAATGGGCTGCTAGTTACTTTGAAATATGTTTCAACGTCGAAAAAACTATCAAGATATATATATATACACGTATATATATATATATATATATATATAAATATATATAAATATATATATATATATATATGTATATATATGCAATAAATTATTTATTTATTACAGGACATTATTACCGATCTAAATGCTGAAGGTGAACCTTTACCTTTGAATCCTCCGAAAGAAGATTGGCTTGGTCACAAAGGTAATTAGTCGATTGATTATGAGTATTTATATATATATATATATATATATATATATACATATTCATTATATTTTAGGAATGGTGCAGGCAGCACAATATATATTGAACGAATTGGAGCAGGATCAACTTTTGGAAAAGGCTTTCGAATTGAATCCTGCTCGAGGAACCAGAGATTTTGGTAAATAACTAATATTTTACATATAACTACATCAACAATTTTAATATTATACTCTATAGAGTAAAGCAAATAAATAATTATCATACTGTGTTAGTCACATTTTCAATATTATAATCTCTTGAGTAAAGAAAATAAATATAAACCACACTTTGATAATCCCTTATTTAATTTGATTTTATTGATTACGGCTTGCTTATGAATAAATAAATAAATAAATAAATAAATTTAGTGAAAAAAATTAATAAACATTATATTTTGATGATAACACTTACAATATTGTACTCCATTGAGTGATCACTATATAAGATTTTCTGTTTTTTAGGTCTGGTTATAGTAGGACATAGTCTGGGAGCTGGCACGGCTGCAATTCTAGCAATTCTGATGCAGGAAAAGTACGAGCACCTTATTTGCTACAGTTATAGTCCTCCCGGAGGATTACTGAGGTGAGAATAGAACAATTGTACAACGATACATAAGAAATTATGAGATATCTGTATTTGTCATCAATTAGAGCTTTACAATATACTCTTAGAAGCTTCTTAAAGCATTATGATGAAAGATATGAGAGATAAAATAATATTTAAGTATATGAGTATGTTTTTATTTATGGATAATGTTAGAGAAATATATTATAGCAACCATTATTGCTTTGTGAGATGACAAATCGTTATAATTAACACAACAAATAAATTGCTTTTCATACAAAAATCAAATATACTTTATAATAAATGAAGTAAAATTATATTTAGTATATAATTAGCATTCTTTATCTCATTAATATGTAGTTTATCTATGAAAATATAAAAATATTATATATCTGACCTGGAATTTTGTAATATAAAATATTCATTTATAAAATGAGATTTAAAATGTTTTTTTTACATTTTTAGTATGCCAGCTGTGGAGCACAGTAAGAAGTTCGTAACGTCTGTCGTTGTTGGGAAAGATGTTGTTCCTCGAATAGGTAAGACTTGTCAAATCCCTAACTAAAAAAATAACATGTTCAACATGTAGTAACAACATGTTTCATCTGCTCATTAAGTATTATTATTATTATTAATGCATGATTATTGCTTTGTGTTATGCAACATAACATATTACTTAGTCGTTTTTCGTAGATTATTTAAATGATAGCATGATTATTTAAAAGGCGCATATAAAAAAGATTCATAAAAGTAATTTTCAGTATTTCTATATAAATACTCACTTGATATTGATTATTTATAAAATATAAATAACTCTCTTTGATTTTGAAAATTTTCAGTTTTCAAGAGTATATTAAAAATAACTATATTTAAAGAACAGATTGGAATTATATAATAAATTTGAATTAAGAAGTTTTATAAAATTAGAATATTTAGATTTTGTATCAATCGAAAATGACCCAACCTTTAATGACAACTGTCAAATTTGTTCAGAACTGAATCAAATTAACTTCGGATAATAATAATTGATTTAATAGTAATTTTTGTTTACTATTACAATAATTGGTTGATTTTATATATGAATGTACTCACATATGTTTTTATTCAGTTATCATTCCCGACTTTCTTCAATAAAAATGAACATGTCTTCTTCAGTTCATTACAAACAAAAGAAACTATAATTACACAATTATTTCACCATATATGTAGTTTTCACACTACATAAACATAAACATTCATGTTTTACCAATACTAATAATAATAATTAGTAATAGTTAATCAATAAAGATTATCGAATAATTAACACTTTGAAACGCATTTTTCTGTCAACGAATTCCTCAACTGTCAAAAAATCTGAACAACCGCCATATTTCTTTCATAAACTAGCGACTTGCGTGAAGTTGGTGTTCGGTGTGAAGTTAACCACTAACGCTTACGTCAAAAAAACCGTTAAATAAATTTAAATTCAAAAAAATCTAATTCGTTTATAAAATATGATTAAACATAATCATAGTTTTAAATTTATTTTTATTTTAAACATAATCATATCATAATCCTATTTTTGTTAGGTCTGCACCAAATGGAAGCCCTAAGAGCAGATCTAATAAACGCTATTAAAAGATCCGTCGATCCCAAGTGGAAAACGATAGCGTGTGCCACGATGTGCTGCTGCTGCACCTCCTGCGCCCCACAGCCGACCAGCGTCAGCAGGATGAGGTCGGACGATAATACGATCGACGATTATAAATTAGTAAGTAGAAGGTGATATTACTTTATTACCATAAAAACCTGAAGATAAAATCACTCTCGACAACAGATTTGGTAATAGACTTCATAACACGATGCAAATAATTGGTTATATTATTCTTCGACACTAAAAGTAAAATTTCACAGTGTTTTGTTTCAATTTTGTTTTGTGATGTAATTAATGTTTCTTTCGTTTTCAGGAAAAAGTATCAGCCAGGTGTAACTCTGCACATCCAAACGACTCTTCCATAGCTTTAACTCTACATAGGCCATTGTAAGTATTCATATTATAATATATATATATATATATATACGTGTATATATATATATATATACGTGGTCTGTTCAAAAAGTACCCGGAATTTTCGTATATAAATATAAAATATTTATTTATTCGTCTACATTAATGTGGTCCCCTTCAAAGTAGTCCCCCCCCCCAGATATAATACACTTATGCCAGCGTTTTTTCCAATTTTCGAAGCACCCTTGATATTCACTTTTTGATATGTCCTTGAGCACTCTCAGCGATTCGGCCTTTATTTCTTCAATCGAGGAAAAGCGCCGTCCTTTCATGGGTCCCTTCAACTTTGGGAATAGGAAAAAGTCACACGGAGCCATATCTGGTGAATTTTTGCACTTTGCAACACTTTATTTCATTTTTTACGCAAAATTTAATACAAATTCTTTGACTTTTCAATTCTTCCATTGTAAAAATCGCCGAGCTCAGAAAAACACGTCGAACCTTAGCGACTACCACAGACAAAGTAAACAGTGAATATAGCTGAAAATTTCATCATACTTTAGGGGCATGTATACCAACACAATAAAAAAAAAATTTTTGACAATCAGACACTCCAGACCCGCGAAATTTAATTATTAGTAATTCCGGGTACTTTTTGAACAGACCACGTATATATATATATATATATATATATATATATATATATATATATATATATATATATATATATATAATTATATATATATATATATATATATACATATACAATATAATTATTTCAGATATCCTCCAGGAAAAATCATCCACATCGTTAGAAACCATTCAGGAGTCATCGAGTAAGTATTTATTTCTTTATTCTTAATTCATTATTGCCATGGGCACTAAATAAATAAATAAAATTTCCTCTTTAATCTATTTCTCAGTACCACAAGAAGTTCTTCCAGTTCCTCACGAGAAAAGACATTCCGTGCAGTCTGGTGTGACAATGCAGACTTCGATGAGGTCCTCATATCACCCGTAATGGTGCAGGACCATATGCCCGATCAGGTTCTGCTGGCACTCAACAAGGTGATTTTGTAGTAGTCGAAAGAAATATGAAAGACTGATTGGATAGTCGTAGATACATTCTTGAGATAAAAGATTATTGAATGAAATTAAACATTTAACTCGATTATATTAATGTGTCTTCGATAAGGATATTTGAGTATTCGATGTACTTTTAAAAGAGAACATTTAATTTTATACAAAGACTTGAATAATTAATATGATCTTATAGTAAAACAACTTCTCGATACAAAATTGTTTTGGTTTTTATTAATCAAAAGGTTACTCAACTTTTATTATAACACTTATATTATATTATTATTATATTATATTACTATAACTATAAGTATATATTCCCTAAGTCGATTTAATCTTTGATTCTATCTCAGGAATGTAATTTAAACTATATTTAGTCGTACGGCTGTAAAATAGTTGCCTAATTTAATTTTTTAGTTGAGTTTGTTTGTGTCATAGATGTTTGAGGTTATGTTCAAGTCAATATTAGTTTTTATGTTAAATTTAAGGCTTTTGTAATACATTTTGCTTGTAATGTGCCAAAAATGTCTAGTTATGCTTAATTTAGCTTATATATGTATAAATAAAGCTGTATATGTGTATTTATATATATACAATAATTATAAAAGACTTACCTGAACTGTCAAAATTTATCCAACAATTTCACTATTTAGTAATAACACAAAACTAAACACTACACATAGATAAAATAAGTTTAACTGCACTAGTTTAAAACTTAAATAAAACACTAAAACGTTTCAATACAATTAAAAATGAATAAATGTAATTAAAATCGTTTTATAATTCTTACAACGCAACTGTCATACAAACGAAGCAGCCATTTTGTGTCCATTAAGGCATCCTGCGTCCTGATTGGCGGAAACGCAGGGTTGCCGAATGGCGCGCATTACAAAACGGTTTACCAGATTTGAAAGTTGACAGTTGTAAATAACAATTTTAATTATTAAATATTATGTTTTATATATATAATTTTAATAAAGTTTTATTTTTAAGTATTTTTTATTACCCTAAATTAGTTCATAAGTTAATTTTGTTTAAGTGTGTGTTTTTATTTTGTAAATATATGTTGTTTATGTTACAATAGTTGTGTTTTTGTTGTTTTATTTGTTTCGATGTGTATTTTGTTGTGTTTTATTATTATTATTATTTGTTTCTAGTCGATGTTGTACTTTATTATTATTATTATTATTACTTATTATCGATTGTAATAATATTATAATTAATTAACAATTTGATTTTTTTTTCTGTTTCTCGTCGCCAGGTGTTCGATTCGGATTGCCTTTGCACCGCGAACGATTCACTCGGCGACATGAGGTATCGTTTTTGATTTAATTTTAATTTTATTTCTCTTATTTATTTATTTATCTATTTATTTATAATTATTAAATGTTATTTATTCATTTGTTATTCTTTAAAATCTATATGTTGTCAAAGGAATGCACATGTTACAAACGATATATTTTGCTTGAATGTTTGTCTGTCTAAATGTTGTTTTTTTTGTAAAGTGTAATATAATAATTCGTTTGTTATTTATTCTAAACTCTAAAGTCTTCAAATGCATTCATTTTGAGAAAACAAACACTGATACGTAACGGTAACACAACAATAACGAAACAAAACTACGTGACAAGAACGTAACGAAACATATTCTGCCGCACAACACACCAATGTTATGGCAAGGCCATGTTATGAATAACTTTCCATACAAATTCGTTCCGAATATTGACAAAAGCCATGCGGTTGCTATGCGGTGTTTCTCAGGTCGTTTAATCTAGAAACCGCAAAAACGTTAAAAAAATCGATCTTAGATAACAGGGTCTTTCTGACTCAGTTTCATAACATACGAGTGACGTTGCAGTTTATGTGCACCACTTTTAATGTTTTTTTCATAATTACTGTACCATTATTAACATTTTTATTAATCCTAAATTTTCACCCTCTGTTAACTTATTTCACGTGGACGTTGAATCAAATAATAGACTCTACAGACATGGAAATTGTAACCAAAAACTTTGAAAAAAAAAAGACTCTACAGAGGAGCAAACTAAATTGAAATTGCTAAAAGGTAAGCAAAACTGATACTGATTGCTACTGATAAGCAAAATAAATCTACGCGGAATTTTTTTAAAAAAAGGGACTGTACTGTCAAGCAAATTGAATATACGTAAACGTTGGTCATTTGTAGAGTTCCTTTTCATTTTTTTATAGTGGATATAGATTTACTCTTTATCTAAATTTATTAAACTAATTTGTCAGTAGAGTTCATTTTTCCATTTTTCAATCGCTAAAACCTATTTTTTTTCTCAATGTCGAAATTCCAGTTTGGTCATTGATTTATTTATTTTGCTCGTCAGTAGAGTCCCTTTTTCAATTTTGGTAGAGTCTAGGTAAGTAGAGCCCCTTTTAATTTTTATTTATTTAGTTTGCTCGTTAGTAGAATCCTTTTTTATCCAAGAGAACGATATTTTACTTTGTCAGTACAGTCCCTTTTCATCTTGAATCATTTAGTTCGCACATCAGTAGAGTGCTTTTTTTTTCAAATGATAATTTAGTTTGCTCATCAGTAGAGTTCCTTCCTTTTGGTAATTCAGTTTGCTCGTCAGTAGAGTCCTTTTCTTCCAGGTAATTTAGTTTGCTCAATTGTAGAGTTCCTTTTTCGGTTACTTTTATAGACGACAGATGAGTTCCTTTTCTTCATAGAGATTTTGATTGCTTGACAGTATAGTCCCTTTTTTGTAATTTATTTTGTTCGCCAGTATAGTCATTTCATCTTAAGTTATAATTTGGATTACTTGTCAGTATAGTCTCCTTTTTTCACGTCAAAATTAAGTTTGCTTGTCAGTAGAGTCATTTTTTTTTTGTAATTCAGATCGCTCATCAGTAGAGTCCTTTTTTCTTGGCAAATGAGAAAAAATGAGATATATATAAAAAAAAAATTCTACTGACGAGCAAATGAAAATGTTGATAGACAAAGGGACTCTACTGACGAGCAAACTAAATTTTATGATCAGAAACAAAAAGAACTCTTACTTTTTTATTTGTTCGTTAGTAGAGTTATTTTTATCGCTTCTTCTTAACTTGCGTTAGTTAGTAGAGTCTTTTTCACATTTTTTCTTAATTTACTTGTCAGTAGAGTCTCTATCTTGCTTTACATTATGACCAGCAAACAATATTGGAAAAAGAACTCTACTGTCGAGCAATGAAAATCGCCTCGAAAAAGGCCTCTAATGACGAGCAAACCAAATTATCATGAAAAAAGCGACTCTACTGACGAGCAAATTAAACAGTAACCAATATGATAAAGAGGACTCTACTGACAAGGAAATAGAAATTTAGACAAAAAGGGACTCTACTGACGAGCAAAATGAGATAAAAGGGACTCTATCGGCGAGCAGATGAAAATGTTGTTACAAAAAGGAACTCTACTATCGAGAAAATAAAAATGTCGACAAAAAGGGACTTTACTGACGATCAAATGAAAATTTAGAAAAAAAAGAGACTCTACTGACGAGCAAATGAAAATTTAAACAAAAGAGGACTCTACTGACGAGCAAACTAAAATTTAGATAAAAAGAGACTCTACTGACGAGCAAATAGTCGACAAAAAGGGACTCTACTGACGATCAAATGAAAATTTAGACAAAAAAGAGACTCTACTGGCGAGCAAATGAAAAAGGATTCTACTGTGACCAATTTAAATTTAATTTTAGAATATCAAAAAGGGACTCTACTGACAAGCAAATAGAAATTTAGACAAAAAGGGACTCTACTGGCGAGCAAATAAAAATTTAGATAAAAAGGACTCTACTGACAAACAAACTAAATTACCAAGATAAAAATGGACACTACTGAAGAACATGAAAAAAAAACTCTACTGATGAGCAAATAGAAAGGGACTCTTTTGACAAGCAAATGAAATAGAAACTTTTGTGATTAATGGACCAATTCTGCCTTAACATAGGGTTGTTATGGCTACGCTATCTTAACCTACTTTTTAAATGGTAAAAACTATTAAAATGTATATCTGATTGCTGTACGATCAGGTGTATTTTACATATAAAATACACAACTCAAATACACTTATTATAACACCTTTCTTGCTTTGTTTATATGTAAAACACGCCTGACAGCACCGCAACTAACCCTACACTTTCCCACTTTACACCAACAAATCCTTGCAATAACCTCAAAATAACCGTACAAAATACTACTTACAACTAATTTCACATACACTTAACTTTAAATTTCTTTTTCAGGTGCTAACCCAGTACTCAACACCAAGCCACCCCCTACACAAAACCACTCTAACCACCAAACCAGGAATAAAAACAAATTTGGGCTCGAACAGACTCCTCTTGGAAACATCTTTCACCAGCCTCAACAGTCCTCAAACCCAAGAATGGCCACAAACATTTTACACCGAAAAAACAATTAAAAACGGAGGAGTAAATTATATAAATAATACAGAGGTTACAAAATTAGCACCCTTGGCAAGCCCTGAGACCTTATCTTTAAACTCCGAGTCAACTTTGAGGGAAATATTCTTAGAAACACCCAAGAAAGGTCTTCGGAGAACCCCTATAATTCGGGGTAATTTATCAAAATGCGCCGACGATGAAATAAATGTCCTAAACTACGCCAAGTATATAATGGAGGATAATTTTAAGTCATCTATCCCTGAATCGGCTAGTTTTAAGTCATCTATCCCTTCTAATTATGAATCGGCTTTCAGCCTCGACAAGGACAATTGTTGCGCCAAATTAGATTCGAATATGAGTTTCGAAAGTGCAAAATCTAGCCTAGAAAGACTTTTGGTTAACAAAAATGTGTTTTTGAGAAACGATTCGTTGCCTTTGCTAAATGATTTGGTTGATAAAAGTGATTGCCAAAAGATTTTGGCTAAGAAAAGACCGCATACGGTTTATCCTATGCATAGAGTGGGAGATAATTTAGATGTGCTGAATATTTCGTTGAGTAGCGAGAGTAGTGTGTAGTAAAGTACGAAATTTTTTGCTTTTTTTAATTTTTAAAATCGGTTCAGTGGTTTTTTTAATTTTTAAAATCGGTTCAGTGTTTTTTTTTAATTTTTAAAATCGGTTCAGGCGTTTTTTTAATTTTTGAAATCGGTTAAGGCGTTTTCGAAAAACCCGAATGCGGAAGGTGCCACGCATAATTTTTCTAAGTTCGGTACCAAACGATTCAGAATGACTTTTGGAACATGAAATTGGCAAATCCAATTTTAGCCAGATAGTTAGTACAGTTCCTTTCTCTCTTGTCATTTTTGATTTGCTCGCCAGTAGTAGAGTCCCCTTTTTCTTGTCAATTTTTTCACTTGTCATAATGATGAGCAAATGAGAAAAATAAAATGTATATAAAAAGGAACTCTACTGACGTGTAAAAAAAAACTTACAAATAAAGGGAACTCTACTGACGAGCAAACTAAAAATGTTGATACAAAAATTAGCACTACTGAGGACAAATAAAAAGGGACTCTACTAACAAGCAAATTAAATTTTGTTTTAAAAATAAAAAAGAAACTCTACTGACGGGAAAATGATAAATTTCATAGAAAAAGAAACTCAATTGATGAGCAAATAAAAAGGGATTCTATTCACGAGCCAATAAAAATATCTATATCATTTGCTCGTCAATAGAGTATCATTTTTATTTATTTTTCATTTGCTCATCAGTAGAGTTATCTTGATTGTAATTTTTTTGCTCGTCAGTAGAGTCCCTTTTTCATTTAGTTTTAGTTTGCTCGTCAGTAGAGTCCCTTTTTCTATTTAGTTTTAGTTTGCTCGTCAGTAGAGTCCCTTTTTCTATTTAGTTTTTTGTTTGTTCATCAGTAGAGTCCCCTTTATTGTCAACATTTTTATTTTGCTCGTCAGTAGAGTCCGTTCTTTATTTACTTTTATTTTGTTCGTCAGTAAAGTCCCTTTTTTATTTTTACAAAACAAAATTTAATTTGCTTGTCAGTAGAGTTCCTTTTTATTTGCTTGTCAGTAGAGTCCCCTTTTTATATTTTAAAATAAAATTTAATTTGCTTGTCAGTAGTCTCTCTTTTATTTACTTTTATTTTGTTTGTCAGTAGAGTCCCTTTTTGTATCAAAATTATACACAGTTTTTTTTTGAGTTTTTGAAATCGGTTAAGGTGTTTTCGAAAAAAACCCGAAGGCGGAAGGTCGCGCACATATTTTTTTTAATTTCGGTACCATACGATTCAGAATAACTTTGAAACACAAAATTGGCGAATCGAAATTTAGTGCCATGACCAGTAGAGTTCATTTCTCGCTTGTATTTTTTGATTTGCTTGTCAGTAGAGGCTCTTTTCATTTGCTTGTCAGTAGAGTCCCTTTTGTATTTAATTTTAGTTTGCTCGTCAGTAGAGTCCCTTTTGTATTTAATTTTAGTTTGCTCGTCAGTAGAGTCCCTTTTGTATTTAATTTTAGTTTGCTCGTCAGTAGAGTCCCTTTTGTATTTAATTTTAGTTTGCTCGTCAGTAGAGTCCCTTTTCCTATTTAAATTATTATTTGTTCGCCAGTAGAGTCCCTTTTTTTTGTTTTAAAATTGAATTTAATTTGCTCGTCAGTAGAGTCCTTTTGTTACATTCTAGAGCAAAATTACGTTTGCTCGTCAGTAGAGTCCCTTTTTCATTTTTTAAAACAAAATTTAATTTGCTTGTCAGTAAAGTTCCCTTTTCGTATCAAAATTATCATTCGCTCGTCAGTAGTAGAGTCCCTTTTTTCATGTTTAAAACAATATTTTATTTGCTTGTCAGTAAAGTCTAATTTTTATCAAAATTATCATTTGCTCGTTAGTAGAGTCCCTTTTGTATTTAATTTTAGTTTAGTAGAGTTCCCTTTTTTGTCAACATTTTTATTTGCTCGTCAGTAGAGACCCTTTCTCCATTGTCATGTTTTATTTGCTCGTCAGAAGAGTCCCTTTTTGTATCGAAATTATTATTTACTCACCAGTGGAGTTTCTTTTTGTCATTTTTTACCCATCAGTAGAGTCCGTTTTCGTAACAAAATTTAATTCGCTCGTCAGTAGAGTCCCTTTTTGTATCAAAATTGTCAGTTGCTCGTACAGTAGAGTTCCTTCTTTATTTAGTTTTTTTTTTATTCATCTGTAGAGTCCATTTTTCTATCAAAATTATCATTTGCTCGTCCGTAGAGTCCCTTTCTCTATTTTTACGAACAACATTTTTTAAGTATAGTCTCTTTTTTATCAACACTTCTTTAAATTTGCTCGTCAGTAGAGTCCCTTTTTGTATCAAAATTATCATTTGTTTGCCAGTAGAGTCCATTTTTTTCTTTTTTCAAAACAAAATTTAATTACCTTGTCAGTAGAGTCCCCTTTTCTATTAAAATTATCATTTGCTAATTACTTCTAATCTCATTTTAGTTTGCTCGTCCGTAGAGTCCCTTTTTTATTTAGTTTGCTTGTCAGTAGAGTCCCTTTCTCCGGTGCCATTTTTATTTGCTCGTCCGTAGAGTTCCTTTTTTATTTTTATAAAACAAAATTTAATTTGCTTGTCAGTAGAGTCCCTTCTTATTTGTTCGTAAGTATAGTCCCTTTTCTTATTAATAATTTTATTTGTTCGTTAGTAGAGTCCCTTTTTATTTACATTTATTTTGCTCATCAGTAGAGTCCCTTTTTCTACCAATATTTTCGTTTGCTCGTCAGTACAGTCCCTTTCTCTATCAAAATGATCATTTGCTCGTCAGTAGAGTCCCTTTTTTATTTATTTTTGATTTGCTCGTCAGTAAAGTCCCTTTTTCATTTTTCAAAACAAAATTTAATTTGTTTGTCAGTAGAGTTTCTTTTTATTTGCTCGTCAGTAGAATCGATTTTTGTATCAAAATTATCATTTGCTCGTCAGTAGAGTCCTTTTTGGTCATTTTTTAAAACAAAATTTAATTTGCTTGTCAGAAGAGTCCCTTTTCTTATTAATAATTTTATTTGTTCGTCAGTAGAGTCTCTTTTTTATTTACTTTTATTTTGCAACTTGCAACTTTTCTGCTCGTCAGTAGAGTCCCCTCTCATTGGCATCTCAGTAGAGTCCTCCTTTTTCTCTCAACATTTTTATTTGTACATCAGTAGAGTCCTTTTTACATTTGCTTGTCAGTAAAGTCCTTTTTACATTTGCTTGTCGGTAAAGTCCTTTTTACATTTGCTTATCAGTAGAGTCCTTTTTTACTTTAGTCCTTTTTCATGTAAACATTTTCATTTGCTTGTCAGATTAAAATACTTTTTCAAAAGCCGTTCAGATTTTTTCAAGACTAAAATTTCTGCGCTTTTCTGTCAATTATAAAAAAAATGGCTCGGCCGATCGTCGCATAAAACTAATAAACGCTTAATTTATCAAGTTACACGGAATTACTTTTGAATTCATAAATTCGATCCAATATAATATAATTTATCAAATAATTATCATTTTCTTTGTTACATCTATTTCTCCAAGTTCTAATCACTCGCCTTAAGCTTCCCATTCAAGACTTATACTAAATATCGTAACACGCCTGTTCGACCTTTGGTGCGCTACGCCCTTTGTGTATGTCCGAAATCGTTAATCGAACGTTCAGCTTAGACTTAACCAATGAAATTAATAATAATAATAATATATTGAATGTATATTATTATATGGGGTATCGTTTGAAAAGTCTTTGCGAGTAGAACTCGTTTATGTAATAGAGAGCTGTGTATATTGAAGTGTCATCCACTTAATCACTTAATCCGGTGATTTAGGAACAAAAACAAAATGCCAAAGAAGTATAAATAATTATTATAATAATAAATTATTAGCACATAATCCCGATAAAGTAATTAAAACTAGAAAATTAGTTAGAGAGCTTCGATATATATATATATATATATATATATATATATATGTATATATATATATATATATATATATATTTATTTTAAATTAAGTTTGTCCAAAAACAAATCTAGTCGTAGATAGCATTTAGACAAGTTACTATTGAAAATTGTTCTCAAAATGAAAATATGTTTTTTTTTTATAAACCGAACGAATTTATAATCGAAATTAGTTTCGAAAATGAGAAGAAAAAGGACTTTACTGATAAAAATGAAAATAATATTATATATCAAAATATTATTTTACATCTTTTTCACGACGTGATTTAGTTTGCTCGTCAGTAGAGTCCTTTTCTCTTTTAAAATTTAATTTGCTCGTCAGTAGAGTCCCTTTTTTGGCAATTCATTTTCTTTTTTCCTAGAGTCATTTTTTCTAATTAATTTAGTTTGCTATCAATAGATTTCTTTTTTTCTTGTAATTAAATTAGCTTGTCAGTA